GACCACAATCCCCTCTGGCTCCCAGCGATTGTTGTGGCACGGTCTCGTCTCTGACAACTGTGACATTGAACTTCTTTGGCTTCTTGTGTCCAGAATGAGTCCAATAATTAATCCCATCCAAGAATTTAGCCAAATGAGAGCTCCATCCCTTGAATATCTCAAATCAGACAGTGATATGTAATTTATCATGCTGTCATATACTATTATCTTAGGGATGGGAGCTGAAGTTGGACGAAGCCAATGACGACATTTCAAAACAGGGAAAACACCTGCAATCATAAGTAATAATTCATTTATTTGCGCACTTATTTATGAACACCTTTAAAAATTTAAAAAAAACACTAACCTGTCGCCCACCATGCAGGATAAAGTTTAGCTTGTCCATTGCCCAACGAAAATGATTCATCTCGTTGATTCTTCAAGTGAACTGCGTGAAAAGCCGCCGGCATTATTATATATCGCGAATTTTTTTTATTTTTCCTAAGCTTCCTTATTATTAGAAGACGTGACACCACGCATCGATATATTTTACAAAAAAAATATTAGTGAATTACATTAATTTTTAAAAAATTAATCAAAATCATATAAGTCAAATATAAGACTTACCTCCCCATCGAAATAGCCACTGTCTTCAACCCCTAATAACACACCCACCAAGACCGATTAAGCAACAAATACATCATCGTTGAGTTTGCTTATGTCAGTGTAACACCTTGGCTCCGCTCATGTAGATAAAAATCAACTGCGGTCTTAGCCCAAAGGGTATTATCCAGAATTGTTTCCGGTAGTTGTCTCCTCTCCACTTCAGATACCGGAAGGATACTAGCCGGTAACTCATACGAGAGCCAACTCTCATCCATCATGTCGGCAACGGTGGGGGTTTCTCAATAATTCGATATATTACCCCATGTGAATCGGGCTCTGGAATGGTGGGAGGGACCTCTTCAACGATGACAGTAGCCTCTTGAACGGGGGGGGACTCTTAAGGGATGATAGGGGCCTCTTGAATGATTGGAGGGACTCTTGAGTAATGACAGGTGAGTCGGGCTTCTTCTCGCGGAGACTTTGCACCATTGGGTTGAACGGAGACGTAATAGCACATGCACGCCGTCTGATGCGTGAACTCTGTCGTGTAAGGAAAACCCGACATAAAGCATCCACCTTATCGGGCCGCTAAAAAAATTAATACATAATCATAAACAGACATGATATTAAACAAGACAAATATGTTCAAACTTGCATTGTATTCACCCAAGTCATTATCTATCATAGTTCACAAAATGCATCAGATAACATTCCAGAAGTAAGCCTTATATAAACATTTAAAAGGACAACATATATAAACATTCAAGAAGAAGAATAGTTTACTTTCGCATACGAAACTTACTTTCGCAACGCGAAAATGACTATCGCAACGAAATGGCTATCGCAATGCGAAATAAAAATCGCAACGACAAAATCGCAATGCGAATGAAATCGCAACGACAAAACGCAACGCGAAACACAAATCGCATTGCGATTTTCATTTCGCGTTGCGATTTTCATTTCGCATTGCGATTTTGTCGTTGCGATTTTTATTTCGCATTGCGATAGCCATTTCCGCGTTGCGATAGTCATTTCGTGTTGCGAAAGTAAACTCTTCTTCTTAAATTGAAACTTGAATGGATTGCATTACTTCAACCAAAAGATAAAACAAAACCAAACAAATACTAACAAAACAGTTTAGTAGTATTGGCAGCACCGAATGAATTTATTAGCAATCTAAGTGAAATGTTATCTAAGTGAAATTACAGTAAATTTATCATCAAGTTAAATATGAAAAATCTAAACTTACCTCGTGCGTAGAGTATGAACCTCATTCTGCAACGATGCTACCATCTCACGTAGAGGGCTACCTCACCGCGTAAAGTAGACACCTCAACACGCCATGCACCATCTTCTTTGCGTAAAGTACCGACCTCCTCACGCAAGGCATTGACCATCACGTAACTCTCCTAACTCATCCCGGAGGTGGAGGTGAGAACAGGGAGATAAACGTCGTGGCATCTTTACCGGTCGCCTATCTTGCGGTGATGGTGGAGAAGAGGCTCGATATGTGATAGAATAGTGATGGTTTCGTTGGAGGTGTATAGTCGGGTCGATCAGGTGATGGCTCTGGTGGTGATGGCTCCCGAAGTGGAGCTGCTATCATCCGTGCCATCAAAAAAACGCTTACTAGCTTGCCACCAATCAGTGGCAAGCTCAGCTTCCGTGGGTGTCAGCCTCTGTAATGGAGTGTTGGCCTCCTAACAATATAAAAGCTCAAACAAAGTTAAACGTGTACTAGTAATAACTTGTTTATAAACATGGTAGTATTTATGTTAACTTACATTATTATTGTCGTATACCGTAGTAAATCTTCCCATTGCAAGGTCCGTTTCCTCTTCCAGGAAATAGTCCTGAAATCATTTGAAGTTTTATTGTATATGTCTTCATGGCGGAAAGGCCTCAATATCCAAATCTACAAACAATATAATAAAAACATTATTAATTGTTAAATAATTACTATAATTTTGGAAACTTATTTAAAAATTCTTACCTTAAAGGCCCAAATAAAGCTGTCAAAGTGTATTTGGAACCATCGCCATGCAAACTTTTTCGATCATCCAAGGCAGACGATAACTTATTCCATGTAGCTTTCCATAAATATGAGCCCCAGGAAACAGGTTCCACGCATTTATTCATAATATCGTCAGGTCTTCCACATGTAGATTCGGCCTCTCCAGCTCAGGAAAACCCGGGATAACCATGATGGCGGTAATGTCGAACCCCATGGAAACAGGTTCCACGCATTTAGGTCTTCTACCAATTTGATTAGATCATTCGGAATAGGTTGTCTGGCCTCTCTGCCTAAAAAGCCGGCATGCAAAAGTATTAGAAGGCATACTCTGACAACATCGACGTCATCCATCCGAGTAAAACCATCTTCTTATTCAATAATATCGTCAGGTCTTCCACATGTAGGCCTCTCCAGCTTAGGAAAAACCCGGATAACCATGATGGACGGTAATGTGTCTAGTGTACCGACCTACATCATCGTGTCCGAAGCGTAGACCCGGTGATTAAGCAAAACTCATCCCGCCCAAAACACGTATACGCCGGTGGAAAATCAAATCATATCTCTTCATCACGACGTTGTATAGTATCTGGTAGATCCCTAGTCATGGTTTGAAGAAACAGGTGTGTCAACATCGCATCTCCACCGGGATGTTGTACTTTCAGCCATGGCCCGAAGCAAGTATCCTCAAACATTTTTCTTTGTGCAGATGAAAGCTTCGACGCAATTGCTTTTGCCAGGCTGACTTTATTTCTTAAGGTTAATTGAGCCGAATAAAAGTTCTACAAAAACAATAAACATACTAAGTTAGATATACCAAAAACTACACTGTGAAGATATACCAAAAACAATAATAAACATAAAGTAGTAGTTTATTCTTCAAACTTAAATTTGCAACACTGTGAATTTCTTATTTGTCTTTGTTTTTTGGTTGAAGTAATGCAATTCATTCAAGTTTCAATTTGCAGAAGAAGAATAGTTTCTGAAAATAAAAATCGCAACACGAAAATGACAATCGCAACGCGAATTTGACTATCGCAACGAGAGAATAAAATCGCGTTGCGATTTTGTCGTTGCGATTTTCATTTCGCTTGCGATTTTGATTTAATAAGCAATCTAAGTGAAATGGTTAACTATTATTGAAATTACCAGTAAACTTATCATCAATTTCAATATGAAAAACCTAATAATAATGCAAAATTTTCAAAAAGAAAAATAATTAAAAAAACTAACCCTCGGTGGTTGATTTGGTTGATTTTCCATTTCTGATTGTGAGGGTGGCTCTGAGAGATGGAGATAGACGGATTTCGCCGGAGATGGAGACGGATTTCGTCGGAGATGGGTGAGAGAGTGAGAGATGGAGATGGGATTGAGTTGTGATTTTAGGTTTTAGGTTATGAGTTGCGATTACGGGATATACTGTGGACGGTTCAGTGTTTCAATATATTAATATTCGTGTTTGGAATTTGAAAATAAAATACGCTTTGCGATACTAATGGCGCTTTGAAAATCGCATTGCGATTATGTATTATCTCGTTGCGAAAGTCAGTATTGAGTTGCGAAATTAAGTATCGAGTTGCGAAAGTCAGTATCGCGTTGCGATTTTGTATTATCGCGTTGCGATAGTCAGTACCGTGTTACGATTTTCCAAATTCGCATTGCGATTTTTTAAATTCGCATTGCGATTTTCCAAATTCGCATTGCGATTTACTTATTCGCATTGCGAATTGGGAAAATCGCAACGCGAATTGGGAAAATCGCAACGCAATCGCAACGCGAAATTGGAAAATCGCATTGCGATAGTCATAATCGCGTTGCGAACCTGGAAACTGATTTGCGATAATGGAGATCGCGTTGCGAATTAACGATCGCATTGCGATTTTGTTGGTCATTTTGGCAAATCCGAAAAAAGTTGGTTAAAATCGTATATTATATGGGATTTTTTGTCACTGAGGTTATTTTCTCAAAAAAAAAAAGGCTAAGTGGCTAACCAAGATTGGTCGGCGGATGGCATGTATTTCCAAATGATTAAATGTGAAAAATATCACTATGAACTGGCAACTTTGAAGTCTCCATATAAATTACCTAAGATGGAGTTTTGGATGCTTGAAAGAGTAACTATTTTGAACAAAATAAATAGGATTTACTACAAATAATCAAGTCAATACGAGTCTATTTTGTTCTGGTTCGAACAGAACCCAACTTATCTAAAATTGTCTAGAATTCCTTACATTCATTGATTTCTAAGCAATTGGCATAAAAGGAAAAGAAAACATAGCTTTGTTATCAGCTATAATTTTCATGGAAAGACTCAATAGAGCCTGAAAAAATAATTTAAATACAAAAAACAACATTCAAATAGAACCAAAAGAAATTGGAATTGCCAACAATAAAAATGGCATACCCCATGGGAACTCCTTGTTGCGAATGTGCAAATATGGGTACGGCAGCAAACATTCACACATCATGACGAATCCAAGAATCTGAACTAATAACAATATTTGTTAAAATTATATATAAATAAATTAAACCGAGTGAACAAAAGCTTACAGGAGGCTCTTCATGGTGGGGATGACCTTTTGATAAATTGTAAATGGCTAAAACAGTTCATGTAGCGATACCCAAATATGTTATCTTTTCCCATTTTGCCGTTTCATCTAAAAAGGAAAACGATAAATTCAAGTTAACAGTAATTATATCTGATATTTCTAAGCTGTTTAGATTTTTAACTACATGAAGTTTTTTTTCCTGATGTCCAAAACTTCATTTTTTTAATAATCTAAATTTAAGTTAAATTATATTTCTAACACAGATTCGATTAAAATCAAAAGGGTAAATTAAACAATAAAACCCCAAAATATAAAAATGGGACAACTCAAATTTAAGAAATTGATAGATTGATGTATATAATTGATTCAAATCAGATAAAAATAAAAATCGTACAAGCAAAAAAATAGATAAAGAAAAGCCCGCATACAAGCATCGTCGTGATGAGATGAGGAAGCGAAACCCCGCTTGGGAGGAACAGTAGGACGAGAGCCGCCGCGAAGGGGTGCTCGGAGGAGACCATATCGCACGCTCGCCATCGCCATTTTTATCGAGTGCTCTCTGTTAAATTGGGACTTGAAAAGCCTTGTTTTCTACTTTTATTCAAGTAATCAGCGATTATACTGGAGAAGCCGAGAAGGGTTTCGCACGTGCGAAGTGCGTGGCTACCCAGTTTATTTTAGGGATAAATATCAAAGTTAGATGAACATGGCCAAACATGGGAAAGTCTAAAAAACACAAAAATAATTATAATTTAAGGCTAAAAAATGTTGAAAATAGACGTAATCTAAAATATTATGAATAATGTGATACTTTAGGTTAGATGTAACTAAAATATAATATTATTTCTTATATTTTCGGTTTCAATTTAAAATGTTACAAAGAATGTAACATTTATCTATTGTCAACTGAAAATTTTATGAATGTAATTATTTAAGTTCGTAACATTTTAGGTTATGCTTATTTTCGTTGTATTTTAGTCGCATGTTAACATGTCATTCAGCATAATTTCCCATCAAATGTGGGTTAACATCTATTAAAAAATTTAGGCTTAATATAAAAATAAGTGCTCAAATTATATCGTTTTCTCATTTAAGTGCCTAAATTTGGTCAATCCAGATATCTAACGTTACAAACTTACCATTTTAAGTGCATTGACCATAACGTCCGTTAAAAAATCATATTAAGTGACATGTGTGATGTTATGGTAATTTTCAAGATTTAATTAAAAATAAATTATTATATGTAAACCCTCTTCTCCTTTCCCCTCCCTCTCACTGTCACTCACTATCTCTACTGTCCCCCTTTACCTAATATTAACATTTGGTGACTACGGCTAGAATGACTCCAAAGTCTAGTGACCTTGGTTGTGTAGTCAGTGGAGGTTAAGCTGGGTGGAGATTCGATCAACGACAACCACGACAAACGGTGGTGGCTGACGTGGGTGTAGGGATTGGATTGAAGGTTTTCAAAGCAGTAGGTTTTTTAAAGAAATTATATTTTGAAGTTTTATTATTTTCAATAATTTATTTTAAAATACTAGAACGTGACACATGTTACTTAACGAATTTTTTTAATATCGTTATGATATGGGCATTTAAAATGATAACGTTTGTAACGTTAGACACCTAAATTAATCGAAAAATAATTTAAGCACCTAAATGGGAAAACGGTATAGTTAATACACTTATTTTTTATATTAAGCCAAAATTTTATATTACATTTAACAGTTATTTTAATTCTTTTACTGGACAAAAATATATTTTAATTTTTATACGTTTGAATAGTGAACATTTTAATTAAAATTTTAAAGTTATAGTTCATTATTTTAAATAATTTGATTTAAATATTCTTTTTAAGTCTATGTGAATTTGATTTCTAAAATTGATTATTCTTTTAAAATGGGGTAAACTACAAATTTGGTCATTTTTGTTTGAATTTTATAAACTTATGGTCACTAGATTAAAAAATATAAGTTTTGGTCACTAACGTTATTGTTTTATTAAGATTTGGTCGTTGAGACGTTAGCTGTCATGAGTTGGATGACGTGGCATGTTAGTAAAATAGTTTAATTTTTATTTTAACCCTTGAACTTTAGATAAATTACTAATCATGGGTCTTTTTGTAAACCAAAAATAGCTCAGGGATAAAATATCAATTTACTCATTTTTCCATATGTTTTCTTCCCCTAACCTATCTTTCGCTTGCACTGCACACCTTCATTGATGTTTTTGCCTTGGATGAAACCTCTAAATCTTCCTTCAATAGATTGAGAAGATAGACATCAATGGAGGTGTGCGGCGCAAGCGGAAGATAGATTTGGGGAAGAAAACATATGGAAAATAGGTAAATTGATATTTTATTCCTGAGCTATTTTTGGTTTACAAAAAGACACATGATTAGTAATTTATCTAAAGTTCAAGGGTTAAAATAAAAAAATAAACTCTTCTACTAACGTATCACGTCATCCAACTCACGGCAGTTAACGTCTCAGCGACCAAATCTTAATAAAATGATAATGTAAATGACCAAAACTTATATTTTTTAATCCATTGACCATAAGTTTATAAACTTCAAACAAAAGTGATCAAATTTATAGTTTACCCTTAAAAATAAGAGTACTTTATTCTATGTACATTTTAAAACTGAATAAACAATGACATTGTTGACATTTTTCATTAATATATGACATGTGTCCAACTTTAATTAGATTTTTTTAAATTAAATAAAAAATTATAATATTATTGATAATTTTCAAATTCCTTTTGATAATTTTAATAAAATTTTAAATATACATTTTTTATTATTTTATATAATCATTTTTAGTTAAATCTTTCTTTTCACTCTAAATCTAAAAAATTAAATTAAATTTCAATTCATTCTTATTAATAGTTTATTATTTTACTTTTTTCTAATGAAATTTTACACGACACTTCTTAAATACTTGTGAAATCTAAACGTGTGTTTAAATTTTAATTATTTTTTAGACTTCATAAATGTCTAAAACTTTTTATGTAAAAAATTAATAAAAATATTTTGAAAGGGATTAATTTGTTTGCGTATAAAATTCAGATAGACTAAAAGAATGTTTAAGTAAAAAAATCAACTAACAATAATTATAATTGTAGTGTTTTAAACTAAAATATTAACTTTTTAAATGTATATGGATTAACCATGAAATAAATTATCTTAGTAATTAAAGGAATTGTTGTTGTTCTTAGAAATCGCTGATTCGAGTACCAATATCTATAAAGATAACTGAATGTTTATTAACCGCCAATGTTTGATGCAATCTATTTCTCACTCAACTAGAAACACTTGACAAAATCAAGAAAAAAGATCTATATAAAATCTTTAGCAGGATAACGTGATGCGTCAAAATATAATTTAAAGTCTGAATGTCAGATCTTCTCACCTCACTAACTTACGAGTAGCCACCATAACCTTATGACTAACATGTGCACAACAACCATTATAAATATACCAATTGAGATTGAATAAGGGGATGGATTGTTAGAAATCGACATACCCCTTTATTTTTCCTCGTGATAATTCTCTTTCTCTCTCTTTCAAACACTAACCTATGATTACCTTTTTATCGGCTGTGATTATTCATCCAAATCTACAGAAGTGAACCACTCATGGTCAATGTATTAATTTTGTTCCCGTCAATCATATTTATTTATTTATTTAAAATAATAATAAAAATGAAACTATACATCAACATTGAATCTGTTCATTGGCATCTCTAATAAAAGTTGACTAATTATGAGCTCGTTGATGATTGCAGCTCTTATCCATGGACCACCGAATCAAGAAAATCAACTTATTTTCGAAACGCGTTGAACTAAAACCTGGGCTACTTGAAACTTCCATCCAAGAAAAAAACCCAAAATTCTTTTACAGTCTCACCGGCCACCTCTCTCCATCTAAAAACAAATCACCTTTGTCTTGTATGCAAAGCTTCGAAGTCATGATCAAGCAAATTCAATAATTCGTTTATTATTTCATAAATTAATAATTTTATATTGATTAATATTTATATATTTATATTAATTATTATGTTATAGAAATGAGTCACGTCCAAAATTTGAACTTCTTGTGAAAAAGTCGTAGGTTTTGTTATCTTGACCGTGTCACCATTTACAGTGTCAATGACTTGTACTTAATGCTCAAGCCGTGGCGGTTTGGGTCATCCAAGGCTACCGTCCACACACCTCCACTCGCCCGACCCAGTCGTCCAAAGGCAAAGTCCAGGGGTGGGTTGAGGTTCAATTCCAGTTTAATGTGAATAAAATTTAATCCGACTCAATTTAATAATATAATTATTTCTTATATTTTCAAAGATAACTGTAATAATATTTTTTCTATTTTATTTTTTAATTTAAATTTTTATTTTACCTAATAAAGATAAATATTATACATATAAGTCAAGTTAGATCAGATGTAGATTTTATCCTAAAAGATTGGATCTAAATTCATATTAGATAAGATCCTCCTAAATCCTGAGTCGAATTTCGAATCTGATAAATAAATTGATTTTTCAAATCAGGTGACTCCACCGACTCGTAACCATCTCTAATTTTAAGTCTTTGAAAGTGAGGGGGGGGGGGGGGGGGGATATTGAATTTCTCAGTTCCAAGGACACCAAGTTCTTAGTTGGCATTTGGCAGGTAGAGCTTTCTGTGAAACACACTCTTCATTTATTCTTTTTAACGACAACTATACAAATATAATAATAAATATTTTAACTGGAGTTCTATGAAAGGGATCATTGACCCTAATATTCATTTGTGTTTCTATACGCGACCCAAAAGTATCTAACCATCATAAGAAGCTACCTTTTTTGTAAATGTATGAAAAGAATAATTGAAATGTTTGTGCACTGCACTTCAATCGGCGGTTAGATTCTGCTATTTCCATTATCATCTCCCTCAACAATGGAATTAGCTATTTGGAGATTCAGGTTCCAAAAATGGTTTTTCTTCAGCGTCGTCGACATTAAGCGAGTACACCACATCTTCCCTACTCCATCCCGCGCGTAACAACACAACCGACAAAACCCGCAACGATGAGGTCGCATTATTCTCTTTGTTCTCGCTTTGATCACAGCCATCCATCATCATCATCTCCCCCACTTCCTCCTCCCTCCACCCTCCATCTCGCAATCTCCAGAACACTTCCTCCAAACATCTGCCCAACCCGAAGTCATCATCCACCGGGTCGCCCTTACTCCACCACCCCGTAGTCACCCCACGCGCCACCACCCTCCTCCCTCTCTCCGCCACGTCTGTCCAAAACTCAATCATCCGAGCGGAAGTCGCCGCCCAAACCGGCACCTTGTTATTGACACCATTGCTTTTCCTCCTCGTGAAAGACTTGAAAACCCCACCTCTTCTAAAAAATTCAACTTCCTGAAAAAACCTAGCGACATCAAAGCTCAAGATTCTAACTTCCTCCCCATCAACGTAGAAAACAGGGTTTCCCGCCACGTTTGGTGTCGAAGGGATATAACAGTTTCGATATATGGGAACTAAAAGGGGCGCCGTCATAAACAATTTTTCAACCAAAGCCAGAGCTTCATTGGGATTCGAAGGTTTAGCTCCCCATGACTCGGACCAAAAGTTGCGCAGCTTAATATTCTTCGAAAGAGACAACAAAGGAAGGTTGAGGAGAACGTTGAGCTGCTGAGGGGATGAAGATCGCCAGTTCGGGAAAGAAGGGTCGACTGGGAGGCCTTCTCGGAGTATAGAACGAAGGTCGGGAGGGAAGGTGAAATGGAAAGTAGATTCGATGGAGGAGAATTCTTGGTCAGTTAAGCCGGGGAGGATGGGGATGTCGAGGGATCCGAGATGGTGGATAAGAGCTTTGGAATATGCAGCAAAAGAGAAACAAACAAGGTTTGATCTTTGTGGAGGTTTGAGCAAAGGGTTTGGAGGTTGAATTTGGGTTCTTGTAGCTGTTGCAGCCATTGAAATTCAGCTTCTTCTTCTTCTTCTTTTTTTCTCTGCCAATGGCAGATGCCAGAAGGAAGAAAAGAAAGAGGAAGTAATGGGTTTACTTTTTTTCCCCCAGAGAATGGGTTTACTTAAAGGGAAGACAAATGGGAGAGCAGTGGATGAAGAGAAAGGGGAAGTCACATGGAAGCTTTGTAAGTTGACAATGTTGTTTCTTCTTCTTTGAACCAATCGATTTTGTTTCTTCTGATATATAAAATGTTTAATGTGAGCCTGCAATGTATTATTCTTTGCATCTGCTTCCTTGTATTTTACTTCTAAAATAGTGTGACATTTCTCCAAAGGATACTATTTTTATCACCTCCACCCAACAGTAATATCTAAAATAACGTATTCAAACCCTACTTTGCTTATCCTAAATAATCGACTCCAAAACAGAAGGTTTCAATCACAATAATATTTTACAACATTTCTATATTAATATATTTCATTAATTAATTTAGTCACCACACATTTATTCATTAAATTTATATTTGCAATCATTTTTTACTATCATTTGAGCTTTTTTAAGCTTATTAAAATATCCTAGGATAGGAATTATTTATACTAGATTTATAGACACTCATTCTGTGAGTGAGATTATATATATTTTTAATTAATCACTTTATATTTTGTTTACTTTTTATGGGAAAAGTCTCTGGTTTTAATTTTCTTTTTAAAAAAATATACTTTCAACAAAATTTTCAAATTTTATAATAGATTTTTAATAAAATAAAAAATAAAAGAATTCTTTTTTTTTATTATATTTGTACAAGGGACATAAAGAATGTAATACTCCAAATATCGAGTCAGTGACTGAAATGTAAGGATTCAAAATTTTGTGGTTAAATTTGATAAATTGAAAAGTTTAAAGATTAATATTTTGTAAATTTGTGGTTAGGACTTTTTAGCAAAAATAGAAGAGAGGGAGGGCATATTGGTCTTTTTGTAGGAAATGAATTTAAAATTCATTTCTAAACCCATTTAAGCATGTGAGGAATTAGAAAAGGGGAAAGAAAAGTCCGGAACTCTGGGTTATCTTCTCTTCTTCTTCTTCTTGCCCGTGAACCTTCATTTTCCAAGGTGAGTTACTTTCAAGTTGGTTGTTTCTTTAATTTGTGGATTTGTTTTGAAGCTTTAAGTGGTATATAAGATTAAGGAAGCTTAAAGATGAAGAAAAACTAAGTTACTAAGGAATTCTTATTGAATTAGTGAAATGAGTTTTTAAGTGAAAGGTTGAAATTTGGTTAATAATTGGATTCTAAAGGTATAATTGACTTGTGAAAGGTCCAACTAAGAGATTTGAAGTGTCCAACTAAGAGATTTGAAGTGTTGGAGATGATTGAGAACATGTTTGAATGAAAGGTATGATTTTTAGTTTTAAGAATTCCATAGAGAAATTTGGATGTTATAAGTGTATTATTGGATATAAGTTGATTAGGATAAGTGTCAGTGAGTTTGAGGAGTTGAATGGAGCTAAGAGTAAGAGATTTAGGTGAATTTTGGGTAAAATTTGAAGTGAACTAAATGAAATATGGGCTAGGGTATCAATACTGGAAGAACAATATCGATATTATAATGTTAAATTGAAGGAAATAGGTTGAATATGATAAACAATATATGTATTAATTGAATTAGTATCTATACTAAAGTTGGGTATCGATACCAAGAATGAGGTATCGATACTATTATTGAGGATGAAATTCCAGAATACCAAAATGGTATCGATACTGAAGTGGGTATTGGTACCATAATATTAAAGTATCAGTACTGTAGGAGGGGTACCGATACTATTCGGTATGAATTTTAATTGGGAGTTCGTTTTGTTTTTGTAATTGCTAATTTGATATAGATCAATGGAAAGTTGGTATTGATATTGGATATATCTATGTGTATATTTGGTTTGAAATTGTATCGAAGGAATCAACATAGTACGAGATTGATCGAAAAGAAAAAGAACTTCGTTTAAAACTTACGTGAGGCAAAGGTGAGTGCAACTCATTTGTTTTATATTAGATTGGAGGACAACTTGCGATAAGTCAACCTCGAAGTTTTTGATCGAAAATCGTTTTATTTCTTTTATGCAATATTTTTATAATGGTTTAATTAAGTTACAATTCTAAAGCTATGTTTTAATTGTTATATGCACATGAATGTGAACATGTGATATGTGAATATGTTTATACGAAAAATGTTCTACATGAAAATACCTTATGAGAATGTATTATATGTGAATAAGACACACTTTAAATAATGAAATAATAATTATATGGTTAAAGCCCAAGGTATATGTATGAGAATTAGAGGTATAGTTGGCATGCCAAGAGTCGAGGGTTCTATGCGGTCCTTCGAGATAATTCTATGTAGTCCTTCGGGACAAATTCTACGTGGCACTTCGGTGTAATTTATATGAGCAGTTGTGATTGCATTAGTGCACAACTGTAACACCCATAACCTGTATAATTATACCTATACAGCTTATAGATGTCACCCGAATTTTGTAAAACCATTTCTTATTCGAAAGCGATTTAAAATTTATCTCCTTAAAATGGTAAATGATATTATAAAAAGTTCATATCATATAAATCATGTTTCGTTGTAACCAATTTAATTCAAAAGATTTTTTATGAATAGTGAACAGTACCCGTGAACAATGAACAGTGCCTACGTGAACAGTGGGGGAATCGGTTCCATGTATGGGGGAATCGGTATCCTATAAATAATCTGGAAATTTTCCTTAAAAGGTGGTTACTGTTCATTGCTACATTACTGCTATAGTAACTTCCGAAAATTACATATAAAACTCATAAAAATTAACCTTTCATCACTATCAAGTTACTAATTGGTTTCCAAATTAATTCAACAAAACAAATTTAACATTATCAAATTACATGCCACTATTTACATCATATTCCATCATAGAATGTCTTACTGATATTGCAATATACTCCTCGATGCTTGATTCACTCTGAACTCCTTTTTCCACTACTGGCTTTTTACCTACGCGTGAAAATCATCACACGCTAAGTATATACTTAGTGAGGCAATTAAAACAATAACAGTGCAATACAACTCATGCATGAATTTCAATTTCAAATCAAATGCCATTCATTGACACATAACTGAATATAAAAATAACAGTGCAATACAAATTTTACCATGATCAAAATATCATAACTGAATATAAAAATATTATTTCCAATATACTTGCCATTCATTCCATAAACTAGTAAGCTTATTTGCATAACTTACCATTTATTAACCAATAAATCATAAACCATAAACCATAGACAATAGCCCAATATACACCCTGATGACCCTGGGTACACGAGTCAAATATAAGCACCATAGTGCTAATCCGTATGACACATAAGGTTGTGTCCACCATCTGTACTAGGTATCCTTAAGTATAGTCATGTATGGCACATAAGGTCGTACCCACCATATACACTAGGTATTCTTTAATGTATTACGTATATGCATCCTATTGCTGAACTCTATGGCATGCCAACTATACCCTATCCCTTAATGACTTACTTGGGCATACAGTCTATTTTATTTGATCAATCCATGGCACAATATATTATCAATATTTAACATTGGGCAGTTCATACCCGAAATAACATTCATGGTAAAATATCACATTTTCCAAAATCAATGCATTATAATTTCATACTCTGACATATCAATGTCATGTCAATTTATAAAAATGATATAAAATCATACTGATATAAACAAGGTCGACTTATCGCAAGTCTTCCTGATGATGTATAAAACATCCATGTATAATTTCATGCATGTATTGCACTCACCTTGACACTTTATAATTTTCCAAAATATGAGCCTCATTATTGTCCACAATAATCCTTTTCTTTTATACTCGAATTGCTTTGAACACTGAGTAAATCACAATCTGTACAAAATATAGATTCATACCTATATATATATATTAGTATTGTACTAACATAAATATATTTCCAAAATAAATTCCATAATCATACTTCAAACTATTCACCACAAAATATTTTAACACTTATTAATTCTTTTTAGTATTGGAACCAACTTTTCCAATTTACTTAAAATGGTCCTTCACCATTTTACCACCTAGATTCTTAATACCAATAATTCCAAAATTGAAATTATTTCACATCTAACACTCATTTCAATTCCCGAACAACAATTTCCAGCATAGTACATCAATTAAATAGCACTTACACAACAACCCATCAATTTTCCAGAATTCAGACAACTCGTACTACCTTTAATGAATCAATATTATGTATTCATATACACACTAGAATTTAATTCCGTTAAAAACTAGACTCGAATACGAATCTATCCATATAAATAACTCCTTCTAATTCATTTTGTACAATTTATGGTGAATTTTCAAAGTTGATCAACAGAATCTGTTTTGCAAAATCTGCTGTCCGAATTTTCTGACCCTTCCTTGGTTAAAAATTCATATCTTTTTGTATACACCTTGAAATTGATCCCCGTTTGTTTTAAACGAAACCAGATCGATATATGTACACAATATATAAAAATATCCTCCAAATTCTTTTATATAATTTCTGGTGAATTTTCAAACCCACTTTAAATCTCAAAATCTAAACTGTTTTCTTAAACCTCATACTTAGGTTCTTCATCAATTCTTACAACCACTTCCTTAAAATCACTTAACTATTCAAAACCCATAAAACACAAAAATCAACATCCCCTTTCATTAACTCAAGATGAACTTGAACACTAACAATAGCATGCAATATTGGTACCAAAAGATAGAGTTTTTCGCATATAATAATTTTCTATTTTCAGCATACTCAAAATCCTAAGGAAATTGCTTGAAAATGAAATTAAAGCTTGTTCTTACCTTTGAACAAGCTCACGTCTAGTTGGAGAAGAAGATGAGCAAATTTTATTGAAATGAAGAGAACATCTCATTTTAATTTACCTTAAATTCCACTTAAATGAATAAAATATTCATTTAATTGGGATAAGACCAAATCACCCATAATGAATCTTCTTAATTACCATAAAATCATGACAACTCATCCTTATCATATTTCAAAGTCAA